AAGGAGGAGAGGAGGCAGGAAAGATGGGAGGGAGGGAGAGAGGGAGGGAAGAAAGAAAGAAAGAAAGAAAGAAAGAAAGAAAGAAAGGAAGAAAGAAAGAAAGGAAGGAAGGAAGGAGGAGGAGGCAGGAAAGATGGAAGGGAGGGAGGGAGGGAGGGAGGAAAGAAAGAAAGAAGAAAGAAAGGAGGAGGCAGGAAAGATGGAAGGGAGGGAGGGAAGAAAGAAAGAAAGAAAGAAAGAAAAGAAAGAAAGGAAAGAAAGAAAGAAAGAAAGGAAGGAAAGAAAGAAAGAAAGAGAAAGAAAGAAAGAAAGAAAGAAAAAAAGAAAGAAAGAAAGAAAGAAAGAAAGAAAGAAAGAAAGAGAAAAGGCGGAAGAGGAAGAAGGAGGGGAGAAATCCAGGCAGGCAGGAAGGAAAGAAGGATGGAAGGTGGAGGAGAGAGAACAGTAAGGAAAGAAAAAAGAAAAAGAAAGAAGGAAGAAAAAGGAAAGAAAGAAAGAAAAAGAAAGCAGAGAGAGAAAGAAGAGAAGGAAAAGAAAGAAAGAACTGAAAGGAAGGAAGAAGGGAAAGAAAAAAGAAAGAGGAAGGAAGGAAGGAAGGAAGGAAGGAAGGAAGGAAGGAAGGAAGGAAGGAAGGAAGGAAGGAAAAGAAAGCCATTATAAATACTTCTCCATTCAGGATGGATGGAGTTAGCAAGAAGGGGAGCCAGGAAGCCGCAGTCTCAGCAGTTTCCGGGGAAGAGAAAACTTCCATCCAAGGCTGCCTCGTTTTTTCCAGTGTTTTTCTTTCCAACCCAGATTTAAAGCTGAGCAGCGCCTGGACCGGCACCTTGCTGGCTGCTGGCTGCTGAAAGGGGAGAGGAGACACATTCAAGGGGAACTTTCTGCCCCCCCACAAAAGTCGGGGAGCCAACAGGACGTTGCGGGAACCGACGGTGCTCCCTTACACCGTCGTCATGACTTTGAGAGAGCCGGATCGGAAGCGCATAATTTTCTTCTTGAGTGCGTGAGAGGCCTTGATCTTGACGAACACTTTGGGCTGCCCGCTGGTAGCCTTTCCCGGGCCGGACGCCGACACCAGCTGCGGGGAGAGCTGCTGCGGCCACACGAGACCCCCACTCTCGTCTGTATCGCTGGATGCGCCGCTGCTGTACGGTGGGGGCGAGTCCCCGTCGCTCAGGCTAGAGTCGCTGTCTCCGCCAACGAGGCCCTCTTCCAGGCGGCACACGGGAGCCCTCCTGGCTGGCTCGCCAGAATACTCGGAGTCACTGCCTGGGTAGGTGTACCCTGCAGGGCCTGGCCCCTGTTGGCCCCGTGGAGGCTCCACGGTGCTCCCGGGAGACAGCTCCTCTTGAGAGAGCTCAGCTGTTGAACTCCACTTGCGGTAGCCGCTGCCCGTGTTCCTGTGCAACCGACGCTGCCGGGACGGTTTCTGTGCTGATTCCTCCCGGTCCACAGTCCCGTATTTCAGCCGGGACCTGTTCAGAAGGCTGTTCTCCGATTGAGATCTAGCCGCTTTCTTGGATTTGGGGGAACTTTTCCTCCCGCCCCCCTTTCTCGCAGCCCCGTCACTCCCCTCTTCTGTAAAGCGGCACTTCTTGGCAGGGGCCACAACCCGCAGCCGTTCCCTCACCAGCAGAGGGACCCGCTCAGGCGACAGTTCCACCGAGCGGCCTTTGGTCAGGGGTGGGGGCTTCCTCCTGCCCCCCCGGTGAGCCTGCTGGGCCCAGGGGGGCTGCTGGGCAGGGATGTACTGGGCTTTGACCATCAGGCAGCCTCCTTCCTCCGACTCGTAGGAGACTGGCTCCTGGACGCTTCCCCGTGAGGACCGTTCCTCCCTGTCCAACAGAGGGGATGAGGGATAGAGAGTGTCATAGGGGTCTAGGGAGGGAGACCTCCCCTGGGCCAACGCCTGCAGCTTGGGGGGTTTCCGGAGACTGGATGGAAGTGGGTGAAAGTCCTCCGCCACTGTCTTGGCGGCCAAAGTCCTCTCGGCTGCAGCGTCCCATGAAGACCAGACACGGGTGGTGGTGACAGCAGCACCCCCCTCGTGGCCGCAGGGTGAGGGGGTGCTGCTGCCCCTCTCCATGGACGGAGGGTGCCTGCGCTCGGCCTGCAGGGACAGCAGCTCGGTGGGTCGCTTGCAGAGGCTGCTCTGTCGGACCACGCCGCCTTTGGCCGACCCGAGGCTCGACTCCGAGCAGGCCCCGAACGACGGAGACTGGTCGACCGACGCCGCCGCCTCCTCTGCCCTCTACATCGGGAGGTGGGCGACCGGGACGCCCCGTCGGAGGCACATCTCGACCTTCAGCAAGGGCATCCGGAGTTACAACGGTAGCCCCAGGAGGCCCATCCTGTTCCGGGCCCTCCGCCGACTCCTCTAGGCAGGGTCCTCGTACAGGGGGCTCTGGAAGAAGGGGCTCTGCAGGGCCACTGCATGCAGGGGGCTGGGGTACAAGAAAGGGTCTGGGGGGAAGCAGGTGGGCAGCGGCTCGGCAGACGGATCTTGGGACGAGGCGTAGGGGGCTGAGAAGGAGCGCGGCATGGTGCTCCGTTGGGCTCTCTCCTTGCTGTTGTTGGCTACGTCCCCTGTGGAAGGCGAGAGAGAGAGAGAGAGAGCTGGGCAGGTGGGGAGCTGAACCCCCCCGAAGCTCTGAATGCTGAAGCTGTTTCAGGGAATCGTCCACACTGAATCCGAGTCTACCTGTCAGGAGTCCTTAGTGCTCTCTGGGCTTGGTGGTTTTCTTGAAGATATTTCATTACTCGGACTAGGTAACGCTATCGGCACTGATGATGTTACCTAGTTGGGCCATGAAATGTCTGCACGAAAACCACTAAGCCCAGAGAGCACCAAGGACCCCTCAGTTGTCGTTCTCCTCCTCCTCCTCCTCCTCCTCCTCCTGAAACATCTGCAAGAACACCACAAAACTCAGAGAACATCAGGGACCCCACTGTCCTCCTCTTCCTCTCTCTCCCCCTCCAATCCCACTCTCTTCTAGCACTGATGATGTATCTACTCAGGTAATGAAATGTCTGCAAGAAAAAAACCCCAAGCTCAGAGAGCACCAAGGACCCCTCATTTCAACCCTGAGCTCCAAATATTCCACCTTCTTCCTCTTACCCACCTACAGATTTGGGGCGCTCGTTGGAATATCCAAGGCGGGATTCCAGATGGCTGATTCGGGAATAGGACCCAGATGCTGATGGGATGCTGGAGGAAGAATCTTCAAATCCAGAAGCTGGTGAATCGGAGGCCACTGCCGACTGTTGACCCTCGTAGAAACCTGGTGAAGAAGGGGCATCTATGTTACCAGCCTCCTGTGACCCCCAGATTTCCAGCCGAGCAAGGAAGGCCAGATTGCCCGTGATCCCACTTCTGACACCAGCCATAGAAGGAGGGAAAACGCAAGAGGAGACAAGATTCAAACAAATGCCATGTTTTCTTCTCCCCATACCTGAACTAGGCCAGCTGTCTGTCTCAACTGCCTCCCCGCACGTCTTCTCGTTGCCGTATAGTCGTAATAAGCCCAGCTGCTGTTCCATTTCCCACATCAACTCAGGAAGGGCATCCTAAAAAAAAACCCAGAAAATCATCAGTTGGTCTCATAAGAGGAGCAGATATTACTGCCTCTTTGGTATCTATAGTAGTAGGTGTAGTAGTGTCTATATCAGTGGTGGCGAACCTATGGCACGGGTGCCAGAGGTGGCACTCAGAGGCCTCTCTTTGGGCATGCGCGCCATCGCCCCAGTCCTAGGCCTTCAGCTGGGTTTTATAAAACCTTTTCACTTTAGGCCTCCACCGCCGTGTGCAAAAAAAAAAAGGTTCAATCAATCAGTCAATTTCAACTTCTCGCGGGGGAAAAAAAGATCTTGCAAAGTTGGAATTGATCGAACTTTTTAGTCCCACCCAGTCTGCCGTTATCACTGCAGCCACGCCCACCCAATGGGCCACACCCACCCACACCCACCCGGCACCCAACGATGCATAAGTGGGTTTTGGGTTTCAGTTTGGGCACTTGGTCTCTAAAAGGTTCACCATCACTGGTCTATATAGTAGTATCCATAGTAGTATCATAGCAGATAATAGGAGATATCTATTGAGTAGGCATCATATATTAAGTATATACTCAATGGTATTATTAGTAGGTATATACTCAATGATTCACCAAAGCACCAGAGGGCAGGACGAGAAACAATGGTTGGAAACTGATCAAAGAGAGAAGCAACCCGGAATTAAGGAGAAACTTTCTGACAGGGAGGACAATCAGTGGAACAGCTTGCCACCAGAAATCGTGGGCGCTCCGTCACTGGAGGTTTTTAAGAAGAGGCTAGTCACTTGTCTGAGATGGTATAGGCTCTCCTGCTTGAGCAGGGGGCTGGACTAGAAGACCTCCAAGGTCCCTTCCAGCTATATTCTGTTCTACTCAGTATATGATAATGTAGTAATACCTACTCAATGCTTGATTAGTACATTGAGTAGGTATCAATTTCCTAGCCAGAAATCTGGAAGGGAGGTGGACCCACAATCACTTCCTTTTCCGTCACTCTCTACTCAGACACATAACTCTCTCAGTGGACTCAACAACTTTCTGGACAGCAGTGTAGCTTCTCCTTGATGTGACCCCCTTTCCTTACAAGCCAAGGTAGTTTCCATATGTAGGACAACCCTCCCCCCAGATGTAGACGAGGTCAGAAGTCCCCACATGTTTTATCGTGGTAGCCAGATGGAACAGGGAGCTCCAGAAGAGTGTGTATTTGTATTTGCGTGTCTGTCTAGGGTGGTATGTGTGGATGTGAAAGAGAGAGAGAGAGACTAGGAAAAGAAGGAAGGGGGGGAAGAGCTATGGGGCAGCTTTTGACCTTCAGACAGATGGTGGCCCCAGGGACAAAAACGACTCGTTTGGAAGCATCAGTCAAACTCCGGACAGGAAAACAATGGGGCGAAATTTTCACCCGACCCAAATAAAGGGTGTGTGGGCCTGTAATCACAAAGTAGCGTCTGTTGTCGAGCGCAAAGCTCTCCAGACGTCCCCATCCAGACAATCTAAGCAGAGATTGCAAAGATTGGAAGGTAACAAAATCTTGGAGAATGTTTGAGGGTCAGCACAGCAAAATAAAGCAAAAATGCAAAAAGCAAAAAAGCATTCTGGGAGTTGAAGTCCACACAACTTAAAGCAGCAAAGCTGGCTGAGGAATTCTGGGAGTTGAAGTCCACGCAACTTAAAGCAGCAAAGCTAGCTGGGGGATTCTGGGAGTTGAAGTCCTCCCATCCTTCCAAGCGGCCAAGGTTGAGACACACACTACGTCAGGTCATTAAGGAAGGAAGCAGACCGGAGAAGAATTTGGAGCATCCTTAAGCCAGTCTGTGGTCACGGGTTCAGCAGATTCCTTCAAGTGAATTCCGGTCTGTTCCTCCCTATCAGCTGTTAGCCCCAGCAGGGGTTTTGCTTCCAAACTGTCTGGATGAGGTCATGGAAGAAAAACGTCTCCCGGCTTTTATCCTTAGCTGCTTGTTTTGTCTCAACCTAACCCATGGATATCTACTGAGGGAAAATACATTTTTTTTCCTCCTGACTATTTCTTGCACAACTCTCAGCCCTGCACACAGAATTCCCTGATACGCCACAAAAGCTTTAGCCAAGATATGCCAGTACAGGTAGTCCTCAATTGATGACCATAATTGAGCCCAATGTTTTTGGTTGCTAAGTGGGACATGGGTTAATTTTGCCCCGTTTGATCCCCTCTTCTCTTTGGAAGCCCCTCAAATATTAGAAGGCTGGGATCATGTCACCCCAGGCCCTTCTCTTCATTAAATTAGACCTACCCAATGCCTGCAACCGTATATTTTAGCCTCCAGTCCCCTAATCATCTTGTTTGCTCTGCTAAAGCCATGAAATATCCCAGATTTTGCATTTCCACCTTGCAAAACTGCCTGCCTTTGTCTAAGAAGGAAGAGCCCCTCAAATCCTCTCCCTCACCTGTCAAAATTTCCATCTAACCTACTTTTTACCTGGCGCAGTTGAATCGATTCCAGTTACAGGATCTAGGAAGAAATCCCTTAAGGGAAGAGTAAGGCGATCTTCAAAGCTTTTTAAGAAAATAATCTACACCGGAGTGACTTTATTCCGTCTGCAAGACAGACTCCGAAGAGGAGATATACTCTTTATCTCCTACCTTCCTGGAATCTCTTCTCTCCCTCTGGGGGGGTTATGTGGGCTGTCCAAGAAATCAAGAAAGCAACTCTGAGATGGATAGATTAGGTTCAGTTGACTCATGACGGCCTCCGTGTCTCCTTTCTGAATTTCTCCGCATTTCCTGTGAGCAGATTTAGCTGCGGTTTTAAACTGGCCCTATGGATCCCCCGTTGCTCACTACCTTAGGAGCTGGATCTACCTTGAAACCACTCCAAGGAGAGGATCAAAAACCCAAAAGGAAAGACCAAAAAAGGCCTCCCCAGCAGCAATCAACACCCCAGATGAGCAGAGATTAACACCAAGATTAACACCAAGACCGACAATCAAGAAGTACACAATGCCCCAATCAAGGAACTACCAACACAGACGAACAAGCTAATAGTAAACAACAGCATAATCAAGGAAGAATACTGACAACGCTGATAGGGCAGGCCACTAATATATAAAAACAAGGACAAACCCTACTCCCTTCTAACACGGATGATGTTACCTAGTTTGGTAATGAAATGTCTAAAAGAAAACCGCCAAGCTAAGAGAGTACCAAGGATCCCTCCTTTCCACAACCTCCCTCCTTCCAGCATTGATGATGTTACCTAGTTCGGTAATGAAAGGTCTGCAAGAAAACCATCAAACTCAGAGAGTACCAAGGACCCACAGTTGTTGTAATTGTCCTCCTCCTCCTCCTCCTTTCCACAACCCCCCCTCCTTCTAGCACGGGTGATGCTACCTAGTTGGATAATAAAACGTCTGCAAGGAAACTACCACACTCAGAGAGCGTTTCATATACACAGTACTGTGGAGGCAGGAATATCTCAAACACAAGCATGGTTCCATTAGCACACTATATTATCCTCCGTGCTTACTGTGCAAGCACAAAAACACACACTTTGAAATGGCCAGAGAAATATAGCGGTGAAGTAGATCACCTGTTTGTTTATAACCCAGTTACAGCACGAACAGGTTTATAGTCCTTCACTTGTGCTTACTTGCTCTAGATATTTTATTTTCAAGCGCTGTCCTTGGCGCTTCTACCACGTGCTAGTCAATTTCACAACCCCAGCTTGTCAATTTCATCATTCTGGACAGCTTTTCCTAAGAGCTCCACTTGCTTTTATTCTAATTCCCATCTTTCCTTGGGCATTTCCCACAGTAAAACTCTGATGAAACCAGAGTTATAAAACACATCGTCCTTGGAATTGCAGCTAAGATATAATTACCTGGAAAAACCCTTGCATAAAACCCATAAAGTCAGAATAGCCAGATTGTTTTGCTTTTAAGGGAGGGGGGGCAGGAGAAGGAATAACATCAGGAAGCTATTAGGAGAGAAATTTTCAAGAGTGATTGCAAGAAGGTGATATGGTTTCCTTGTAAGAGAAAAGTCAAGGTGGAAATAGTAACGGAACTGTACAGTATTTGCAACGTTCGTTTATTTTTGCTGCATTTGTGGATGCTGCATTTGGACTGATTTTTAAAGGGGGGGGGAATTGAAAATTCCAAGGAAAAAAGCTGCCTACTTATTTTCCAGATATGCTGAGCGGTTTAAGGCAAAATATCTCAAACTGTGTATCACGAATCCCTGGAGAAATTTGGAAAAGCACACATTATTGAGGGGGCTTGCACAAACAAACCAGGATTGCAACCAGGACTTGCTTTGAATCCACCGTCACCGTGGCCATCTTGACTTTTTTTGACCCCTGTTATGAAAATGAACGAAACCAGCCCCGAAGGCATTGAGCTCTTTATCTCCCTGCTTGAAACTGGCTAATATATTTAATTAGCATTCATTAAACCTACTTTGTAGTGAAAACCGAACCACAGATACACCTTGGCTTCGAGATCTGAGCAGCTCTTGCCAAACTGAAGCCTCCTTCCTCACTTGAGGTCCTGCAGGTGTGCTGGATCCCGACCCCAATGGGGCGGCGCTGGCAGTTGACCATGGACTTTGTAGTGAAACACAGCTCAGAGGCACCAGCAGCGTTTAGCAAGCCCTGCCTGCTTGCTTCATCGGGGCTTACTTTGATATTTCTTAGTGCAATATTTCCAGTTGTGTATGTCCAGGCTCTGGTTTTGCAATCTAGGGACTAGGAGAGGAATGTGCTTTGATGAAAGAAAAAATTGTAAAAGCTCAAAGCTTTTGCTCAAAAAAACCCCCCAATAACGTGGCCGACTTTCAGCTTAGGCAGCCAGAACTGTTCCAGCTTCACTTTTTTTTTCCTCCGGAAAACAGCTTGAGAAGACTTTGTGGACTCCCCACAGCCCACAAATCCTTGCAAAGGGAGAAGGGTCTTCCTAGTAGCCAAGAAGTGCCAATTACCTCTTTGGTTAATTGGGAAACTGCTTCAGACAGAAAGGCGGTGCAGAGAGTGGTGAGGATGG